TATGCCGTTTCCATGGCAACGCATCCCTCGCCATGAAACAAGATGTTGTCCTAATTCAATGGAAAATGTTCCAAACGGCACCAGACTTCAGATTATGGCTAATGGTCCGGCCCTCAACACCTCAATATGACAATAGTGAGTTTTCCTCAAAAGTTGTTGCCATGGCAACGCATCCCTCGCCGTTAAGCACGATAATGCTATAACTCCTGTGTAAATGGTAAAAAAGTGTTCAAATTTCACATGTGTGCTAACGGTCAAGCCCTCGAGACATATATGTGTCAGTTTTGAGATTTCGTCAAATGTCGTTGCTATGGTAACAAAATGGTCGCTGTGAAACAGGGTTTTCTCATAACTCCAGTTAACATGCTCCAAACGGCCGAAAACTTCACAGGTTTGATAACGATGCAGCCCTCAACACATCTAGGCGTATTATGGGGTGTCATCAAATTCCATTGCCATGGCGACAGATCACTCTCCATCAAACACAATGTTTATGATACTGCTGTAACTCCTAAATACATTGTCCGATCAGCCTAAAACTTCCCATGTTTGCCAACGGCCGAGTCCAGAAAACTCCTGCGTGACACGTCGACGTGTGGACAACAGCCTGCGGTGCATCGAAGACCAGCTGAATGCTGCTTGCAGCTTTTAGCTTTAATTATTATTATTATTATCCAGTGTTTCCCACATCATTTTATTCTATTTGTAGGGGCATTTGTTTTTTTTCTAACCTCGCTTTGTGCAAGTGACAATTGTTGTCGTCTTCTCTGTGAACGTTTTTTTCGCTGTTCTCTTGCCATTTGGAGATTTAAATTTCCAGCAAAAGCTAAACCAAGAAGTGTTTAGCACACCACGTGACGCATCTGAACAAATCGCGTTGTCAGAAATTGACACCAGCCAATGAGATTTAGTTTTTTGGTTTAATACCCCTTTGTACTTTCACGATTGGTTGCTGATACAAAGGAAATGACCATATTTGGATCCAATGAGATTGTGCAGGAGAGACGGAGCTTTCGAACGATATCTCTGATTACATGGTGCATCAGCGGTCGCGGTAATTTACGGGGGGAAGACATTCTACAGTTGGCCAGTCCGCCCCTGAAAAATGTCTATGCACACGTTATTATTAATAATAGCAATACAAATCCGATGTGTCTCACTCATTAAGAAGCCTTAATGAGTGCATTAATAATAACGTGTGCATACATTTTTCAGGGGCGGACTGGCCATCTGTAGAATGTCTCCCCCCGTTGACAATTCACTAACAAACCCCCCCCCCCCCC